CGGGCCGGTTTTTTCGGCCCGTTTGGTCTGTAACTTTGTTCACAAACATGATACAGTGTCCCAAATAGTATCATTTTGTAGTGCTTGTTGAGTTCTACGATATCTAATTTAGTTAGTCAAAAAATATTGATCCTAAAAGAAACTATGACAGGGCCCGCCACGGCCCGCTTTGGGCCCGTCCGCAAGTATGGGCGAAATGGGGCGATCCCCGCACCCGCCTCCTCGCGCCCCGGGCTCCTGTAACTTCCAGGGTAACCTAGTTGAGTACCCTGAAACGAAAAAAATAATTCGAAAATGAAGTTATTGTTTCATACAACAACCAATTTTTCAACAAAGCGAATCCTCGTCCCGCTTTCGGGGGCTCCTGAATGAAGCGGGGAGCCCCGTTGCCAACCCTACCCGTGACAGATACCAAAAAGTAGTCAACTGATAAAATGTTCAGCATAACGTCAGTGAAATTTTATTTGTTTATCACTTTTTGATATCTTTTACAGGAATTCAGATAAATTGGGTCAAAGTTGGAAGTTTTACCAATGCATGCATAGTTTTGACTCTGGATGGAAAATAGTCAGCGTTGTATGGATCCTTTCTGTGGAGGATCGGGTGGATTTCCCAGATGTAACCGCTAAAAAATTGGTAATTTTAGTATTTTTGGAGATTCAGAATTTCAGAACTTTGTAATTTCAGAATCTCGAAATCTTAGAATTTCAGAATTTCCAAATTTCTGAATTCCTGATTGAGTTTCTATGTTTTTCAACTTTCCAAACTTTCATAACCAATTTTCTTCATTTTCCAAATTTCTAATGTTTCGAATTTCCAATTTTAAAATCCATTGAATTTTCTGCTTTTTTTCCAAAAATCTAGCCACCAGATTCTGTATCTGGCTTCTCGGCAAGAAAATTGTTATCTGATCTACGGAAAATGTTCCGAAAATTTCAAAAAAAGAAGAATGAATTCAAAAAGCAGTCGATTGAATTGGAAAAAGTTCGAAATCGAACATCGAGAATTCGAGATTTTCAATAAGTTTCTTAGAATTCGGCCTCATTCGATCGGCTGTCTGCGATTTTCGACCGACCGAAATGGAAGCTATTTTTTTTTATATAGCCTTTCAGATTTTCAGATTGTTCTTATCACTTACGGATAAGGAACCAAACTTGCTGTAACCATATCAGTCTCCTCGCATTTTTTGAACCATTCATCCAATCCTTCAATTGAATATCCAGCCGTAAAGTAGCGGTGATGGAATTCGAATGTTCTAAAAAAAATAATTTTTGTGATTTTTGTGCCCAAAAAATTGGAAATTTTGAAATTTGGTTTTAGATGAAATTCGGATTTTTTTTTCTGAAAATTCAAATTTATTAAAAGCTTTTCGAGTAATTTTTTTTCGAAATTCTTAGGCCTTTATATTCTTTTATGACTCATTTTGGATTCTTTATTCTTAATTCCCAACCTTTGCAGTATTTTGGAATCCAATAATTTCTTATTATCAGTTAAGATATCCATTCCAGATTCCGTTTCAAATCTCCGAATCGCCAAAACTTTTTTATGTTTTCCATCGATTATTCGATTTGCGATTTCTTTGATTTTTATGGCGAAATTTTGACTTGGTATCATATCTCCATCCATTAGAATATGTAAACCTGATTTTGATCCTTTTCTTGCGATATTTCTCATCAAATTATGCGGAAAATTCTGGAATGGACCAACGATGGCGGTTCGAAGAGCGTTTTCTGCAAGAAATGGATTACTGTAGTTCGAACATTTGATGTACTGTAGCTTCGAATGAGAAAGTTAGGTATAGTGTAGCTTAGCTTTTTGGTATAGTGTACTTCTTTAGCTGTTTGGTATATCGTTGCTTACTGGTATACTGCAGCTTGGAATTGAAAAAATTGGTATACTGTAGCTTACGGGTATACTGTAGCTTATTGTTATATTGTAGGTCATTGGTATACTGTAGCCTGGTACGAAAAAAATAGGTGTACTGTAGCTTACTGGTATACTGTAGCTTACTGGTATACTGTAGTTTACTCGTATACTGTAGCTCATTGATATACTTTAGTTCAAATTTGGCATACTGTAGCTTGTTGACATACTTCAGCGGACTGGTATAGTATAGCTCATTGGTATACTGCAGCTCATTGCTAAACTGTAACTCACAAAAAGAAGACTCACGAGAAGCAAAAAAATTTTGACAGGTGTTTTCGGAATTTGAAATTGTAATAATTGGACAATTGGCGTCAGAAGAATCCGATGATTTATGAAGGAATGCGAAGTGCACAGTCATCTGAAAAAATTGGAATTTCAAAGTTTTCTGAAAAATAAAGAGTTTCTGAATTTTCGAATTTCTACCTTTTCAAATTTTCAGCCTCACCTTTCTTCTAAATCTCACATCACATCTGTAAATTTCAGTCAAATATTCCAGAACATTACGAGAATTCGAATCAATAAAAATTCCCAAAGAAATTGGTCCATCCCATAAATTTGTTAATTTTTCAATGGTTTCCATCATGTCAGGTGTGGCATGAGTCACCAAACTGACGGGTTCCAGATTGTCAGCTTCTCGGAATCTGAAAAATTGAATTCTTTGAAAATTCTGAATTTATTTTTTTTAAATCTGTATTTTAGCTTTCTAAAACTCCGAAAAAAAACTCTGAATTTTCGATTTTTGTATTTTAGGATTTCGAAATTCCTGAATGTTGGAATTTTCGAATTTTTGAATTCCCGAATTTCAAAAATTTCTGAATTTCTGAATTTCTGAATTTCGAAATTTCTGAATTTTAGTGCTTCTGAATTTAAGAGTTTCTGAATTTCCGAACTTCCGAATTTTCGAATTTCTGAACTTTTAAATTTCCGAACCTCTGAATTTCTGAATTTCTGAATTCCAGATTTCTCTAAAACTCACGATTCTGTGGCTTCCAAAAAATTATATCCCACACAATATTTCTCATTTTCCATTCTTGTTTGAATTGTCAAATTCCTCAAAATTCCCTCTTCTCCATAATTTTCTACACTATAAAAATTTGTGGGCGTCGTCGAATTTTGTATTTTATCAGAATCTTTTAATTGGTCCCGCAGCGTTTTTTCTCGGAGCTGAAATTGTATTTTTGGGAATTAAATTAACCTGAAAATCTGCAAATTCAAATAATTACCCATTGCAAATAAAATAGGAAACCAAAAATCAAAATTATCACATATAAAGCGGATCGGTTCGAATGGAGCATTTTTGCCTGAAAATTTGAAAATTTGAAAAAAAAGAGGGATTTGCCGAAAACTTACAACATTTTGATCGCCATCTCCGCCAAAAAAAAGTGGAGGAAAATTTTTGGGTTTTTATCTGAAAAACCGATCTTTTTCTGGATTTTTCACTTTTTTATCGGTTTTTTGGACCGGATTCTGACGTTTCATTAGACAAAAAAAATGGAGGGAAAGTATGAAGAAAAATATTTTTGGGAACAAAAAATCGACAAATTCTGGCTATGCGTCACTTCGAAACCGGTCATTTCGAAACTGTGTGACACTTCGAAACCGGTCGTTTCGAAACCGCGTCACTTTGAAACGGCGAAATTTCGGAACCGCGACACTTCGAAACCAGTTATTTCGAAACCGCGACAATTCGAAACCGCGACATTTCGAAACCGGTCATTTCGAAACTGTGTGACACTTCGAAACCGGTCGTTTCGAAACCGCGTCACTTTGAAACGGCGAAATTTCGGAACCGCGACACTTCGAAACCAGTTGTTTCTTAACCGCGACAATTCGAAACCGCAACATTTCAAAACCGGTCATTTCGAAACTGTGTGACACTTCGAAACCAGTCGTTTCGAAACCGCGTCACTTTGAAACGGCGAAATTTCGGAACCGCGACACTTTGAAACCAGTTATTTCGAAACCGCGACAATTCGAAACCGTGACATTTCGAAACCGGTCATTTCCAAACTGTGTGACACTTCGAAACCAGTCGTTTCGAAACCGCGTCACTTTGAAACGGCGAAATTTCGGAACCGCGACATTTCGAAACCGGTCATTTCGAAACTGTGTGACACTTCGAAACCAGTTATTTCGAAACCAGTTGTTTCGAAACCGCGACAATTTGAAACCGCGACACTTCGAAACCAGTCATTTCGAAACTGCAAAATTTGCACGCTGCAACTGTTTTCTTTAATTTTCAGCCTTCTTCCAATTTTCAATTTCATTTTTACGTGACCGGTTTCGAAGTGTCGCGGTTTCGAAACTACTGGTTTCGAAATGTCGCGGTTTTGAAGTGACACAAAGCCAGAATTGTAGAATTTTGAAATTCTCTCGGAATTTCACTGTTTTCATTATTTGAGATTCTCAAAATTGGGAATTCGGAGATTCAGAATTTCAGAAATTCAAATGTCAATCAAAAAATTTGATTTTTTGATTTTTCAGATTTTTCGGGTTTTTCAGTTCTTCCAATCCAAAATGTGACATTTTGAATTTTCATCGATTGTCTTTTTTTTCTCTAAATTGTCCTTTTTCTCTGTTCGGAGAGCATCGTCGGGTCTCCCGGAGCACCCGTTCGGAGCACTTCATTTCCCAGGAAACCTCCTAGCAACATCCTCCGATTCGGCCGAAATTTCCACTTTCATTTTCATAATTTTTCCCTTTCAAACCAAGCTTTATACAAACAACCAACTTTCAATTTTAAAAAAATGTTCAAAATAACCGATTGGCGTCGGTTATTGAGGAACATTTTTGGTCCACTTATACTATTGCTAATCGTTGTTTTAGCGTATGCAGCCGTCATTTTTGGATACGTCGCGTGAGTTAATTAGTTGATAATTAGGGGATAATTAGGGAAGTACCGTGAAACCTGGGTTAGAAACTCCTTGACTTTAAACTTTGAGCCAATTTTTTTTTTGGTTCCTGTGGAAGATATCAAAAATGTGTCAACTGATAAAATGATTATCATGATATCACAAACATTTTATCAGTTAACCTCTTTTTGATATCCTGCAAAGGAGCCAAGAAAAGTGGCTCAAACATGACACCGTGGAGGTTCTTCTATTACAGGTTTTACAGTATACAGGTTTTGTCCTTTTTTGAGATTCTGAGTTCTTCAAGATTCTGAAATTCTGCAATTCTGAAACCCCTAGAATCTTCCAGATTCGAGTACCAAGCCGAATGGAGAGCTGAGCAAGAAGTGTTTGAGAAGCTCGCTGCTAACGTGGATTACGAGAAGCAACGTCTTCAAACTTCATCGGATTCCGCACAAACATACAGTTCCAAGTACTCACTGGGTACAAGTGATGTCTATGGAATCATATCTGGATTTTTGAACAAAACATTGCTCACCGTTTCCAGCTACGAGTTTCAATGGACCGAGAGTTTAATGTGGGTTGGGGAACAGAACATCCACTTTGAGATTAATTATCTCGGTTCCTGCGAAAGATGTCAAAAAGATGTAAACTGATAAATTATTTATCATAATATCGTCAATATTTTATCAGTTGACAAATCTTTGATATCTCTCATGAGAATCGAGATAATTAAGCTGGAAATGTAGCATGTCCCCCTTTCAGATACCGCCGAATGTACGACCATGCGTTTCAACTGAACGATGACTCCAAACTGGAATTCAGCAAGCCTTCAACCAAAATCATAAACATCATCTTCCGATCAATTCTTCCCATTTTCACAACTTTCGCCGTCGGAGCAAGTGTGTCAGCTCTTCATTCAATAAGCTCAATTATACTGTCGATTTGTATTCGCCAGAAAAAGTATCCAGCGTGGACGGTTGGTAGGAATAAGATGTTGAGAATCAATGTAATGGCTTCGATGGCTGTTGCGACCGCGTATTTCGTTTTGTGCTTTTTTTTGAGTGAGTTTGAACTACCGTAAACCCTATAATAGAACGCCACCCTAAATAAGATTTAGCTTGAGTTAGTTGAGCTCAATTATTTCGATTCTTGTGTGGGATATCAAAAACGTGTTAATTACAAAAATAGTGATATTTTGATAAACATTATACCAATGGGCGGATTTTTGAAATCTTTTATGGGAGTCGAGATATATGAACTGAAAGTTTATCGGCTTAGTTACGCTGTCGGCGCCGAAATGGCCTATAACTTTCTTCAAAATCAACATTTTTAAATGTTCAAATTTGAATTTGAAAATATTCACAAAACAGGGAAACAACTTTTAATAAGATTGAGGTTTTCAGCCTCACTTGCATCGTCTCGCTGGCAAGACGTCTCCTTCGTCGATGGAGTCAAGATCACACTCAATCTGATTGCAACACTTCCACCAAATGTGAAACTGGTATTTGAGAATTTGTCTTTTCGAGACTTCCCGGAACTTCTCGAGACTTCTCGAGACTTCTCAAGACTTCTCAAGACTAACAGACGATTCTCAAGGTTTCTAGAAATGTCTCGAGACTTTTCGAGACTTCTTGAGAGTACTAGGCTTCTCAAAACTTCTAGAAACTTCTAGACGTTTTCGAGATTTTCCGAGACTTCTCGAGACTTCTCGAGACTTTTTGAGACTACCAATGCCTCTATAATTTCGAATTATTACTCTAGACGCTCCGAAATTTACATTCTTCCGTTTCTTCCGTTTCAGGACTCAATTATCGACGCTCACACCCTCTCCGCCATCGCCTTCCTCATTCATTCCGGAACCGCCTACTTCGTATTCGCCCTTATTAATCTTATCAAAACCTGGAGAATCTCTGAATTCGCCATCCCAAAGATCAGTGATATCCAGAAGGCTGATGAACTGGATAAGGCCACACAAATGGTCTACAGAGCGAGAAGAGCCGAACTTTTCCAGAAGAGACCAGAGGAGAAGAAAATGGATTAATTCCTCGGATATTTTTCTTTTGAAATGAAGAAATTTTGTTGACAAAATGTTTTTGTTATCAGAAAAACCAGATAAAAACAAAACTTTGGTCTCAGTAACCAATTACCAGTCTCAAGGTCGCAGAACGCCTTCTTCTATCATCATCTATTTTTTTAACAGAATTGTTTGTTTTCTTTTCCCCAAATCAAGTATAAAAGTTAACACAGACAGCATCAATCAACAGAAAATGTTTCAAAAATATTTTCCAATTTTCCTGTTCTCCCTGGCCGCGGGGGCATCTCTCGAAGATTGTAAAACGGTATTCTACCCTTTTCTTTCTGAAATTTCAGCCAATTTTTTTTATTCCAGATTACTCTTGGTCTTGAACCAATTTTAAAATCTATCGAAGTCGGGGATAGATTCTTCCGGTCCCCAGAAGAATACAAAGCATACGCGGATAAGTGTGAAGAGATCATTGTGATTATTTTTATATTTTCAAAAATTGCTGAATATGGGTCATATTTGTACTCATTCAAATATTCTTGACGTCCTGATTCCAAAAATATACCTGAAAACTTTCTAGCTATAAAACCAATCAAGTTACACGCCTTTAAATGTTGGAGACGCGCATAGAGAGGGCGCAGACAACGAGAGCGCCTCGCTTCTCTGCGCGCGCTTCGTACGTTACTGAATTTTATAGTAGAGTCGTTGGAGGGATGGTTCATGGAGGAAATACCTGGGATTTTGAAAAAAAGACAAAATTCAAGAAAAAAGTTTGAAATTTTTTCTTTGAAAATTGCAAAAACTTCCCCATTTTTTCAACATAGGCCATTTTTACCATCATTCAAACCATCTTGGCTTGAGGATTTCAAAAATATAACTGAAATTTTTCTAGCGTCAAAACTTACCGAGTTATGTCCCTTTAAAAGTAGGAGACGCGCATAGAGAGGGCGCAGACAACGCGAGTCTCTCGTTTCTCTGCGCGCTCCCTGCACTCTCTCTAACCAGCTCAATCTCAAATTTTCCATTTTCAGAATTGCGTAACAGCTGCGGATGCCTCAAAACTTCCAGACTTGTTGAAAAAAGTGAGCCCGTGCCTTTTCTATACGTTCTACAACAGGGATTTCTCCGAGTGTGCTCATAAGGTAATAATGTTTTTTCTTTTTTCCATTAATTTTTCATAATTCCTGATTTTCAGCTAATTGCCAAAAAAGATGACAACATTGATTGCCTCAACACTCTGTTCAATGACATCCATGAGGTTTGTTGTCTCTCGCCGCCGCCGCGCCTCTCTCTCTCCCCTCTCTTTCCCCTCCTTCTTATACGCCCTCTCGTCACCTGTCCTCCGTGCCGTCGATAGCTCAGTTGGTAGAGCGGAGGACTGTAGAGTCAGTGGGTATCCTTAGGTCGCTGGTTCGAATCCGGCTCGACGGATTTCTTTTTTGTATTTTGTATTTTTTCAGCCTGAAGTAGACGAATGTGAGCAATGGGATGGTCTACAGCCATGTGTCAAGGAGCAAATTGAAAAGATTTGTGATGCCAAGATTCTGGAGGAATATGTCAAGCAGGAGAAGAATTTGAGACCGGAATTTTGTGATTGATCATTTTAATTTTGATTTGAAAGCTATATAATGTATGTTGATAATTTTCCTAATATTCGATTTTTCCATTTTTGTGGATTCTCGAAATTTTAGATGATTTTCAAATGTTTTTTTTTTCTGACTTTCAGAAATTTTTCAGAGCTGATTCTTTCGTTTTCGAATAAAACATTTTCAGAATTTTAAAATTTCAAAACTTCAGAATTTCAGAATTTCAGCGTTTCATAATTTCAGTATTTCAGAATATCGGAATTTCAGAATTTCAGAATTTCAGAATTTCAAAATTTCAGGATTTCCCTGAAAATTCGAAAAAATTTAATTCCCAAATGTTGAACTCTGTCCAAAAAAAAGTTTAATTCATTCATAAATAATCTCCATTATTTTTCTCTTATCAGTTTGAAGTTTGTGCCAAAATCACTGATAAAGAAATTGTGATCATTGAGTTTTTGATTTATCTAATCATCCCACGCAATTAAACAAATTAGTTGGGTAATTAACAAAGTGTTTAAAAACATTATTAATTTTTTATAGGTCAACCCCAAAATGTTATCATGTTATCAATAAATTCAAAGTATTTCTAGTTTGAAAAAAAAATAATTTTCTTCAAAAAAAAAACGGAATGATAATGAGAATCGCGTCATTTTTTGTGAGAAGGATTATTTTTAAAAATTAGTATAAAAAGAAAATTAGGTCATTGATAAAGAATAAGAATTTCAGAAATACCAAAAAAATTTTGAAAATCAGCAATTTTCGAATTTCCGAGCTATGAAATTATTTTTATTGTTATTTCTCAGCAGTTTTAGTATTGGATCAGCAACAACGGATAACTGGACGGTAAGTCTGAGATTCTGAAATTCCTAAATTTTTAAAATCTGAAAATATGAAATTTTTAAAATCTGAAATTCTGAAATTTTGTAAAAACTGGAGTGGAAAACTGACCATTTCATAACCGGAAGTTTAGGATTTCAGCACAAACTTCGGAAATTCCAAATTTTGGAATTTCAGATCCAAATTTTGGAATTTCAGGTGGGGGGACATGAAAAAAATAATGTTCTCGAAATTTCGTTTAAATATGCCTCTCGAGGAGTTGAACGTGTGGGACGAGGATTGAGGGTGCGGCGCCGCTACCGACTGAGCTACACAGGCAAAGAGAAAGCGGACGCCCGATTGCATACATAAAGGCGAGGACGACAGCTGTACGCAGAGTGACATTAAGCGTTGTACACCGTGACGGTAGAATGCATACTCTATCTACAAAAAAACTACGAAAAATCTCCTGTCCCCCCACCTTTAATTAAGATTTTTTTTGAATTTCAGAATTCTTGCATTTATGCAAATGAATTCTTGCAATTTCAGAGTTCTTGCAGAATTCTTGCATTTTCGATTTTTCCAAATTCCCAAATTTTCCAGAATCTCCACCGCCACCCCAAAAACATCACCGGAGTTTCAACGAAATGCCAAAATGACACAGAAACTTGGCTGAAATCCCTTGAAATTCTCAAAATCGTCTCTCTAGAATGTCTAATCTCCAAAAAATGCTCCAAAACCGAGCTCAAACTTCTAGAAGAAAACTTCTACGCCCTGGAACAACTGGATGCATTTGGAAAGTTTCCAAGTACCGGTATATTCGAAATTCCATTACTTTTCGATGGCTCTTATCAAGAGTGCCAAAGAATTTCCGGTAAAAAATACGACACGAATTACTGCTACGTGGTCTTGGTGCCTGGAAAGGACTCCAAAAAATGCCACGTGGATAAAAACGGAGATTCAACGCCTACAACAATATTCTGGAGAAGTGCAGTATGTATGTCGAATAATTGTAACCAACAGGAAATTTCCAATATTTTCAATCAAATTTCGGATATTCCATTCACGGCTTGCGGTGCTCATTGCTCATCTTTCCCAGTTCAGAAAACTCCTTTTTTTTGGATTTTCTCAATTTTTCTAGCTGTTATCATTCTGATTGCTTTGGTTGCTACTTTTGTGGATTTCCTTCTGGATTCATTTGGAGAAACTAAAAAAGAGAGACATTTGGCACTTCGGATTTTTCTAACTTTTTCATTTTGGACAAACGCTGAAATTATTTTATCTGTTAAAGAACAAAAGCCGGGATTCATCAAATGTTTGGATTGCATTCGATTTTTGTCCATGTTATGGGTTGTGTCTGGCCACACAATGGGTGGAATTGGGTTTCCAGGTGAGTTGGCGGAATGTTCTAGAATATCGTAAAACCTGTATCAGAAGAGCCAGCCCTTCTATTGTTCCAATGTACCTCCGGAGGGCCCTTCAATTAGAGGGGCTCTTCTATTTTTCCGGCTATTTTCTCGGAATATTCCATCGAAAAATCGACAAATTTACGTTCAAAACTCATAAAAATTTATAAATTTTATCAAAATTGAGCAAGTTATTTATCAAAAAAAAATTAGTCTTTCAACGAATTTCTATTGAATTGTGGAGTTCCCGGATTATATTCATACTTGCAACGGGCCGGGCCGGGCCGGTCTTTTTTCAGAAATTTCAGTGCCTCGGGTCAGCAGAAAAAACTGGACAATTTTTATGAAAAGAAAACATTTTTCAAGATACGAGTGTCCGTCCATGAAAAAAAATGTCCATAAAAAATTGTTCTTTCACAAAAAAAAATTTGAACAAATTTCTGAAATTTCAAAAAAAAATGCCGAGGAGTCATCGCCGGGCCCTGACGTATGATTGTATTTTATCGAAAACGTACGGAAATTTTTTTTTTAATTACAATACACATTTGAAGGGGGTCCTTCTTCATAGAGGGCCCTTCTGTTACCGAGGCACTTCTATTACAGGGGGCCCTTCTATTTTTTCAAACGTCTCTCGGAGGGACCTTCTATTAAAGGTGGGGGGACATGAAAAAAATAATGTTCTCGAAATTCCGTTCAAAGATGCCCCTCGAGGAGTTGAACTTGTGAGGGCGATGATTGAGGGTGCGGCGCCGCTACCGACTGAGCCACGCGGGCAAAGAGAAAGCGCACGCCCGTTTGCATACATAAAGACGAGGACGACAGCTGTACGCAGAGTGACAATAAGCGTTGTACACCGTCACGGTAGAATGCATACCCTAGCTACAAAAATCCTACGAAAAATCTCCTGTCCCCCCACCTTTAAAAAGGCCCTTCTAATACAAGTTTTGCGTTACTCTGGAATTTGGAAAATTTTCCCTGAAAATTTCGAATTTTTTAAATTACCAAAATTTATTCTGTCTGAAAATTGTTCAATTCATTCATTTCTTATCAGTTTGAAGTTTCTGCCTAAATCACTGATACAGAAAAGGTGATTATTCCCCACAATTTAAACATTTAATTATGCAATGAGGCTAATTTCCAGAACTGGAAAATGTCGGGAAATTTCTTGGGGAGTTCCAAAATTTTAAAAGATTAATCAAGTTCAAAAAATCTGGAGAATCTCAAAATCTACAAAAAAAAAATCTACAAAAAAAAAAGATTCTTGAAAGTCTGTAACCCTGAAAGATTTTGGAAACAGATGAATATATTGGAGTTTCTAGAAATTCAGGAAACTTTGAAAATCCGAATTCTGGAATTTTTGAATTTTTATGAAAATCTGTGGTTCTAGGTAATTTTGACAATTTCTTAAGTTTTCTGAATTTTGCAAATTCCGGAAATTTTATGAGGTTTTGAAGATTTGACATCTTAAAATTTTAAGGTTCTGAAATTTTTTAATTCTGAAATATTGTAATTCGGAGATTCTGACAATAGTCCGATTGCTCATTTTCCCAGTTTCAGATGATCTCAGATGTTTCAGAAACCAGATTCGCAGAATTTTCAAAATTCAAAGATTTTGGAATTGAGAAAAGATGAAGTTTCCCAATTCCAGATCATCAATATATTGGAAATCTTTTTCAAATATATGAGAACCAAAGACCCCAAACCGTATCATTTTAATAGTGTCTTCATTTAAGGCTATGTGCTCTGAAGCCGGAAAACCGCGCATTTCTTATTTTTTCATCCGTACTTCCCTAATTCCAGATGTCCTCCTACCCGTCACTTCTTTTAACAAACATTTATGGAATCATCTAATCCTGAACGCCTTCTTCTCCGTCGACACCTTCTTCCTCCTTTCCGGTATCGTCGTGGCTTATTTATTTTTCAAAAACCCCCTCAAAAAAGCTCAAATCACTAGTCCAATCACCTGGATTCTATTTTATGTCCATAGATACCTCCGATTGACTCCGCCCCTTATGATCTTCATCGGATTTTATATTGCTTATAGCGAATATATACAAGGACCAACAGCAGCCGCTGGATTGAGTGAGTCAATTTCAAAATTCGAATTTTCAAAGGTTCTGAAAATTCCAGATTCCATAACCTACGCCGTCAACGGGTGCAAGAAAACCTGGTGGCGAAATCTCCTCTACATTAATAATTTTGGTGACAGTACCCAAGCATGCTACGGCATCACCTGGTACCTAGCAGTGGATACCCAATTATACTTAATTGCCCCAATTATCCTAATTGCTCTCTGGTTCTCTTTCCTCTTTGGTTTTCTTACTGTAGTTGCTGGGTGTGCAGGTAGTATAATTACTGTATATATTCTCTACGCTCAATATCATTTACCAGCTGATCAATTTGGAAAAGGGTATTTAATTACTTTAATTAGTTAGTTACCCTAATTAGTTTTCTCAGAAATCTCCTGGATTTCGGAAAAATGATTTACCAAAAACCTTGGATCAGATGTACCCCATATTTGGTTGGATTATTGGTTGGTTACGGATTAACGAATTTCGGAAAAAGGAGAATCCGACTTAATTGGTATTTGGCGATTATTGGATGGTTAATTGCTTTGGGAATTGCAATCGCTTGTCTTTTTAGTACGAATGATTATGATAAGGGAGCTGTTTGGACGTGAGTTCGGAAAAAATCGAAAATTCAGAAATTCAGAAATTCAAAAATTCTGAAATTCTGAAATTCTGAAATTCTGAAATTCTGAAATTCTGAAATTCTGAAATTCAGAAGTTCGAAAACCCATACTTGTCAAATTCCGGGCCGACTCGGCCTGGGTAGCTGATTTTTTGAAAAATTTTGAGAAAAATTTTTTGAATTCCACCTGAAAAACAACTTCCTGTTATAATCCGCTCTTATAAAAGTATCGAAACTTCAAAATTTATAGCAATTTTGATGAAAACACAAATTTTCAGAAAAACTTCGAAATTTTGAAATTTTGGAATCTGACCCGGCCCGGCCCGTGACAAGTATGCAAAAAACCCAATGATTAGAAAAATTTAAAAATTCAAATTTTCGAAAATCCAAAAATGCTGAAAATCTGCAGATTCACAAATTCATAAAATTAAAATTTTGAAATTCTGAATCTCGGAAATTCTGAAATTCAAAAACTTCCAGAGACTTCGAAAAAGCCACCTACTACAATTTTTCCCGTTTCCTATGGTCAATTGCTGTCTCCTGGGTCATCGTTGCTAATCATATGGGCTGGGGAGGTACAGTAATCCAAATCTACAGAAATCCACATAAACTACAGTAACCTTTTTCTTCCAGGACCAATCAATAATTTCATGTCCCATCCGATATGGCAACCATTGGGCAGGCTGTCCTACTGTGCCTACATTGTCCATTTCTTTTTAATTCCATTTTATGAAAATCTAGATGTTTCTCCAATGCATTATTACTCGACTTTTCAAATTGTGAGTTTTGCCGCCAAATTTGAAAATTTTAAATTTGAAAAAAAAATCAAATTTCAGTGGATCTACTACGCGGTCCCGATCACTATAATTGCCTATATTTTTGCATTTTTCTGGAGTTGTCTTTTTGAAATTTCGACTTTGAAGTGAGTTTTGAAATTTGAAAAAAAATATTTTGAAATATTTTTTTCCTAGTTTGAAAAATTTTGAAATTTCAGATTGGAAAAAATGTTGATAGAGGCGATTCTGGGTGCTGGACATCAGAGGGCTTCTGGAAAAATTGATGACGTGACAAAAGTGGAAAAATTGGAAAAAGAAAAAGAAGAGAAATCTGAAAATGTCGAAACCAAACTTTAATTTTTGTTTTCTGCTTGTACAAAAACTTTTATTTTTTTATTTTAATGAAGGATTTCGTTAGTGGGAAGAAATTGGAAAATCCAACATTTTTATAATGTTAGAAACATTTGAAACTGGCATTTTCAATAAAAAATATTAGAATATTGGAAGTTTTCTGGGGAATTCGGAAATTATATAAAAATTTAAAATTTAAAAAATATTTTTTTTCAGAAAATATTCAATTTTTTAGAAATTCGGAAATCAATCCAAAGTTGTAGATTGAGCATTTATGGATTTTTTGAATCTTAGAATAATTTAGAAACCATAAGCTTTCTGAATTTCAATTTCAAATTTTTCAGAAGATCTCAGGAACCTTGGAGGTTGAGAAATTTAGAAGAAATTTAAAAATTCAACAATTCAGAATTTCTGAAATTTTTCGAAATTTGGAGTTTTTAAATTTTCGATTTTTTTTGAACGATTTGGAATTTCAAAATTCAACAAAAAATATATTAGTTCTGCCCCTTTGACAATTTCGCTATTTATGTTTCAACGAAACATACATAAATACAGTAATCCAACATCTACACAGACACAAAACGATTTTCCTACAACCCTGCCAAATTTTAATACCCCCAGGATCAATAGAAAAACGGATTTCAACAGTTTAGGGGATCAAAAGTTTCATGTGACTGTTCGAAAAAAATTCCAAACAATAATGTCACAAAAATTGTTGGTTCAGACGGGACGACTACGGTAGCGGATAAGCCGTGATTCATAAAATTTGTATTAAAAGTACAAAAAACTCTAGACAGATTTATTTTTGGAAAAAAATCAAACTTTCAAAATGTTTCCAAAATTCAAAAGTTCAATTACCGTAAAACCTCTAATAGAACGACACCCGGATCGTCTACTTTGAGCCTATATATCT